CGGCCCTTCCGCCGGTGCGGGGCGGCTCCTGCCGAGTGCTGGGTAAGCAGAGCCGGCTGGAGCTGGCCGTGGGCATGTTCCCGATGCCCCAGGCCCCTCTGGATGCCAAGGCATCGCTGTGTGCGCCTGTGAGCTGGGAGCCTGTCCCTGCCTCATTGCATGTTTTGTTGGAGAGCAGAGAGCCAGGAAAGCCCGGGGCTCCTGTCCCAGCAGTGCTGGGCAGGTGCCCAGCCCAGGAGGTCTGTCCTCCTCCGAGTCTCCCCAACCTCCTCCCTGTCTTCTCCTGCTCCATCTCTGCTGAGCTCCTCCATCTGCCCCAGTGCGCATCTAGCTTGGCTCCACTCCTGCTGGGGTAATAAACACCCCTGGAAAAAGCTTGGTGCGCACCTGGAGGTGTCTGCTGCCTACCCAGAAAGCACACAGCCCATCTTGCCTCCAGCTGATCCCAGGGAGTCTGGGAGCATCCAGAGCGCCTTCTATGCGGGGCTTTCTGGGGAGCTCTGCTGCCACGAGCTGGATTCCTGCAGCCTCCGCTTCGTCACCTGGAAAGTCACCAGCCAGAGGCTTGTTCGGCAGAATTTTTTTCCAGGCAGGGGAAGGGAAGGCAAAGCTCAGCAGCCTCCAAGGGCTTGCTCATGAGCCCAGGAATGGGGGCACAGTTGAGCCCAGAGCAGCGTGGGAAGGGGTTGTGCTGGTGCTCAGGACAGGCAGGATCACTTCCCCCAGCCCGCAGCCTTGCCAGAGCCCTGCTTGCTGGGGCGAGGAGTGAGCAGAGATCTCTCCTGATCTTGCTGCATCTCCCCTGGCACCCTGTGGGGCAGCTATCCCAGCCTGTCACCTTGTGGTGGGACCGGAGGGGATACGTCAGTTATTTGGGCAGCACAGGAAGCCCTGTAGCCAAACATCTTCAGCGTTGCCTGTGCATGGACGTGCAAGTGTCCTCTTCATCACACTCAGAAATGGCCTGTCCTGTGTTGAAGTCTGGTCCCTGAAGCACAAGACTATCCATCATTGCTGCCCTGCTAACTCCTGCTGGCCTCCCGATACCATCACTCAGCCAATTTGCTACTGAGCCATTGATTTTTGGCTCAACTGCAAAATTAAGGCTAATCCATCAGAGCTTCCAAGGAGGTGATCCATCCTTCTGGGAGAGGTCATGGCCGCAGCAGGGCTCCTGGAGATGACCCAGGCTCTGCCCAGCCGCGCTAGCGTGGCCGCATGCCTCGCTTCAGAGGTGTCTGCTCGTTGGTGCAACAGGACTCGCTGTGGTCATATTAGTGACACCATCTGTCAAAGCTGAAGGGAAACTGCAGCTCAAAGGCCTCCTGTTCTGGTGGGAGAAGCAGGGAAATATCCTTTCTGGCCCATCTTTTGCTCACTTCCCAGCTGACAAGGGGATTTCTGCTCTCCATCTGTCTCTGTTTTTCTGTCCGCTGCGTTATCCTTTGCCAAATTTATTACCCAGGCTCTTTGCAGTATTAGGACCTCTGAGCAGCTATCTTCCCTCTTATTGCTGAATGAATGAAATTACACCTGAACTCATTTCAGTAAGCCAGCTGAGCAGTTCACGGGGAGCATGACGCATGCGAAATTGCCTTAAGAAAGGTCTTGTGGCTTCTGACATCATTTGTCAGGTGGAGCTCTAGCACTGGAAAGCCCAGACCCGGTTAGGGACAGCTTCCCCCAGATTAGGTGCTTTCTGCAGCTTAGAAAAGGGTGACTCTTCCCTGGTCTATGGACTGTTCTTTAAAAGGCCAAACCTGTGTGTGTGTGTTTTTGGGTTTTTTTTTTTTTTTTTTTAAAAAGAACAAGGGGGAATAAAGCTGAGCCAAGGAGCAACTCACGACCTAGACAGGGTTTGGATTTAAAAACAATATCCAAGAGGAAGGAGAGAAAATAGTGGGTTACCTGGCTGAGATGTGAGGTAAATGCTCGTCCATCAGAGACGGTAGCGATGGGGTGAGATGGAAGGTGATGCATAAGCCTAAATTGGGCCCTCCTTAACCGACCTGTTCTTGTTGCCTCCCTCAGGGAAATATCTGGACCATGAAGGTGGCCTTCGGATTGCTTCTCCCACTGGTTCTTGTGCTGATCTCGGAAGTGAGCGGGCAGCGTAGGAAGCCTCCCCGGAAACCCACGCGCCCACCTCCTGAGCCTGTCGAGCCCGTCGAGCCCACAGAGCTGCCCCCGCCCTTGCCACCGGGTCCCCCCTCCGTCTTCCCTGACTGCCCCCGGGAATGCTACTGCCCCCCAGACTTCCCCTCTGCCCTCTACTGTGACAGCCGCAACCTGCGGAAGGTCCCTATCATCCCGTCCCGCATCCACTATCTCTACCTCCAGAACAACTTCATTGATGACCTCCCGGAGGAGTCCTTCAGGAACGCCACTGGGCTGAAATGGGTCAACCTAGACAACAATCGCATCCGGAAGGTGGACAGGCGGGTCCTGGAGAAGCTGGAAAACCTCATCTTCCTCTACATGGAGAAGAACCAGCTCAAGGAGGTGCCTTCCTTCTTGCCACCCAACCTGGAGCAGCTGCGTCTGAGCAGGAACCAGATCTCCAAGATCCCTGCTGGGGTCTTCAACAAGCTGGAGAACCTGGTGCTCTTGGACCTGCACCACAACAAGCTAAGCGATGGGGTCTTCAACAAAAACACCTTCAAGGGACTCAAGAACCTCATGCAACTCAACCTTGCCCACAATATCCTGAGGAAAATGCCTCCTGGGGTGCCCAATGCCATCCACCAGCTCTTCCTAGACAGGAACAACATTGAGGACATCCCCAGTGACTACTTCAAGGAGTTCCCCAACCTGGCATTCATCCGGCTCAACTACAACCAGATCTCAGACAAAGGGCTGCCCAAGAACTCCTTCAACCTCACTAACTTGCTGGTGTTGCACCTGGCCCACAACAAGCTCACCAATGTCCCTTTCATCAGCTCCAAGCTGGAGCACCTCTACCTAAATAACAACTCCATTGAAAGTGAGTTGAGGAAGTGGGTCGGGAGGCCACAGTTAGACTTGAGGAGCAGATATGCTTGGGGATGGCATATGTTTCATTGGAAAATGGCATCTTTTACCCTCGGAGATTTGAACCCTTTGAAGGGGGATGCAGAGTTGAAATGAGCTGGTGGCTCTCTCTAATGAATGAAGGAGGATGGATTTGGATGTAGAGGCCCAGGGATTAGGCCAATAGCCCAGGAGCAGGAAGAGAGCCGAACTTAATTCCTTTTGCTGTTACAGGGCCTTTTTTTCCCCTCACTGTCATGGGCAACTCCTTTTCAGGTCTACCTGCTATCAAAAGGTTTACTTCCCCAGCAGGGTGTGGGAATATGTATATTTAAAAAGGAGAGTCTGTGCACATATTTCAAGAACAGATGCCAAGTATGCAGTCAGGATGGTTAGAAATAACACAGCCTAGCTCTCTAGCTGAGCCTTGCAGAGCGAAGAAAAGGGAGAACAGGGCTGTGATGGAGGTTGCCTTGGCAAATCAACCGGGGCAATTTCACACTATTTCAGGCAAAGTACAGCAATCTCATGGGAGAGATGCTGGCCTGTGAAATGCGTAAACATGGCTAATGTGGGGAAGATAGAGGCCTATTCCCAGCAGCCCTGGCTGTTTCTGACATTAGAGGTCCAGCAACCTGTTGTCCTTGCTGAGAGTATCCACAGGGAAGCAAGAATGCAGCGCTCTGTCCAGAAACCCTCCGTGTGCACCAGGAAAAGTGCATGCAAGCAGTCAGGCTCTTAAATTTTTGGCTGCAGGACCCATACAGGACAAGGTGGAGCAGTCGCCAGGCAGGTCACTGAGCCCAGCAATGAGTGGCGTAGCGCAGGCACTGCCGGTGACCGGGGTATTTATTGTGCAGTGACATTGCGTGGCTTTCTATGCGAAAGTAATCAGCTGCTAAAGAGCAGCTGTAAAATCACAGCACCGCTTTAGCAAGCTGGCTCCTGACGTAGCTGGGTACCATCTCTGACTGCGACGTAAGCCAGGAAGCGAGGAGAGGGAGAAACCTTCTGCCTTGATGCCAAGTGATAATAGTGTCCCTGACAGGATGCCAGGGAAAAAGGACAAAAACTGCACAAGGCCAAATTCCTTGTCTGACAGAAGCAGCTGGTGTTGGTTCATGAGGGAATAATGACGTAGGGATGAAATGCAAATTAATCTGTGTTTTATTGAAATACTAGACTGTAGCCAAGAGGGTCTGGGGGTTGAGGTTGTGACTGCTGTTGACTTCAGGGTACATAGACCTGTAGCAAGGTCCTGCTGAGACTTTTGATGCAAAGATGTTTGCATGGCCATGCACCTCATGTCCCAGCTCTGTGTTTTACCCCAGCTGTCTTGTTCCTTCTTGTACTTAGTTTTTCTGAGGTTTCAGTTCATGGAGTTGGGTCTGTAACAATGTAAGAATGTGCAAAGCAGGCCTGGTGATGGGGAGAAACGCGTGGAAACTCAGCGACATGCAACAAGCCCGATCAGTGATTATTAATGTTATCTTTAGCCTAGCAGCGCTGCAGCATGTTTTGGCGATATTTTTTTGAAGGCTTAGGGCTGGGTAGGCTGTTTTTGCATTTGAAATCATCCCTTTTCTTTCACTGTATTCCTCACCTTGCTTTGGCTGAATGTGACCTACTTAAATTCTGAACAAAAGCAGGATTTGCCTCTCGCTGGGGCCCTAAAGCTGCATCTTATCTTCTGGGAGCAGCTAACTCACACCCAAGAGAGATGCCCAAAGCACTAGGAGTTAGGGCAAGAAGCAGGGGGTTCCGCTTTCGGCAGCAAAGCAACCCCTGTGTTAGGCTGGGTGAACCCCAGGGAGATGGGGGACAACAGGGCAGAGGGGTCTCTAGCATCACTTCGTGCCATCCCTGTCCTGGTTCCTCTAACCCACCTCTTGCTTTGCTTCTCCTCCCTGCAGAGATCAACGGGACGCAGATCTGCCCCACGTCCCTGATGTCCATCCAGGACTTCTCACCCTCGGACCTGGACAACGTGCCCCGGCTCCGCTACCTGCGGCTGGACGGGAACCTCCTGAAGCCCCCCATCCCCCTCGACCTGATGATGTGCTTCAGGCTCCTGCAGTCCGTGGTCTTCTAACCCTGCCCGACAGCACGCCTCTCCCAGGACTTGGCTTTGCACAGAGACTCGACCCCTGTCAGCGTTTGACACTTGGGACCTTCTTTGCCTCCTTCTCTCCCTGCTCCCCCCCGCCTCTCCTTCCCTCTCACATTTCCCCCTCTCCTTGGTGGCCCTGGCGCGTGTGTCCTGGTGGACCATTGTCCACAGGATGGCACCGTCCTGGGCCACGGCGGGGGGCCGGGGCGGGC